TTCGTTTTTTTGCAATGAATTTTAATTGTAATGGGGTTTTAATTAAAATTGCTGCTGAATTTTGAGACGAAATTTCTACAGAATGTTTAGTTTTTTTTTGTTTTTTTGGGTGCGAATTTTTTGGTCCGCAATTACAGCATTTTTAGGGTTTTTTAGTTAAAATTTGTATTGTGAGTTCAATTAATATTGTGGAGTCTGTTCGAAATTAATGAGCATGTTAGGGTGTTAATTTGCCCATGGATTGATTCACAAGTATGAGTCTCCGGTACTGTGGATTTTGTGTAGGCATTGTATTTTAGCTATTTTTGCACTTGGAAAGCTTGTGGATTGAGTACTGTGGATTTTTTTAGCAACAGGTTTTTTGAGCAACAGGATTTTTTGAGCATCAGGATTTTTTGAGCAAGAAACAAGTTTCTTGAGCAAGAAACAAGTTTCTTGAGCAAGAAACAGGTTTCCAACTGGAGATAGGAAACAGGTTTCTTGAGCAGGAAACATGTTTCTTGAGCAGGTAAAGGGTTTCTTGAGCAGAAAATACAACTGGAAAACAAAAATTGAGCAATAAACAGTTTTCTTGAGCAGGAAAAGGGGACTTGGTGACCGCGCGTCGCAACGCGGCAAAATTAAAATTTATATTTTTCTCGACTAACCTCTACTAACTAGTAGTAGTGGCGAGCAAGGGTCGATCCCACGAGGAGTGTGAATCAAATCGTGAATTTTCTCGTATTAATTGAAATTATGAAATCAATAAAAGAAACTTATTAAAAATCCTAATAAACAATGGAAATAAAAATAAAATATAATAAATAAAGAGAAGTTTCTAGTTCACGGTTTCGTCTACACCCTCGACTGACTCGTCTAATCAATTATGGTATCCAATCTCGCTATCTTATGAAATTACTAGCCCTAGGCAACGACACGGTCAGTTACCCGAATTTTTTCTTATTTTTAATTTAACCGCGAGACGCTCTACGATTAAACCTGACTTCTTGTACAATCCAGAAAAACGTTTTCAAGATTTAATACAATTAGCCGCTTTACAAATTAGAAGAATAGGCTAGACTAAGTAATGAACTCAACCGCGTTCGCTCACTTAAATAGGCCGTGTTATCCCCGGTAGTTACCATCTTCCGGTTACCTCTCATGAATTAAACACAACAACAATTACGGATTGAAGGTCTAATTCAGATGTAGATATGAAAAGCCTAATCTAGGTGATCAATATAAATAAGACTAACACATCATGGTGAATTATTCAAAATAACACAAACAATCCCAAACAGATAACTCAATAATCAACCAAGAAAATCAATCAAACATCATCAAGTCGTAAGGTTCAACATCACCGGAACTAGAAATAAAAATCTACTCTAACATACTAATAAAAAGAAATAATAAATAAAAGAGAGAGATTAATTATCTCCCTCGTGTACGGGTGCGGCCTCCCTCCGCAATTCTTCGAGCTCCTCTCGTTTTTCTGCTTTTTCCGTGCGTCTGTCTTTTTTTCTTCTCTGGCTGCGTGCGTGAATAATGTGGGCGGCTCCCTTTTGTTCTCTGTTTTATATGATGGCCTGTGATCAAGGGCTGCTCCCTTTATTTTATTAAATAAATAATGGATATCCTTCAATTGGCATATGGCTGCGTGTATGTCTTGGATTCTTTTAATAAACCAACTTCTTGGTCCAATTTCCACTAAGCAGTCCAAAATCATCCAATTAATGGGCCTTTGATCTTCTTTCACGTTTGGGCTTAAGTTGGGCTGGTGCGGGCCCGAGCATGGGGCTGAGTATGGGGTACTCCCGTATTCTGCAGGCTGGAATTTCGTTTATTGATACATCGCCCGTAAAAATGCTCCAATATCCTGAAAATAAGACATAAAAATATCATAGCACTTGAATCCATCTAATAAATAAATGGGTCGAAAAATATATAAGTGCGTTAAAATTAAGCATATAAAAATACGCTAATAAATATATAACGTACACACTTTTTCCGACCAATCAGTTGGAATTTTTCAATTTTTTTTTTCACAAAACAACAAAAATAAGATTCATGAAATTAATACAAATTACACAAACACAAAATCAAACTGTTACAGTATGGCCACAGTAGTTAATACAACCAGAAAATGAACTAGTCAATGTTTTGAGGACATTTGTTCCTACGATGGCCGGGTTGCCTACATTTACCACACAAACGAATTCCAATACCGGGTCGCCTAGATTGATTAGATTGCTCAACATTTTGGACAAATTCAACACAGGTTGTAGAGTAATGGCCCTTTTCGCGGCATCGTGAACAAAATGCTTAACTTCGAGAGTTGGAAGAAGGGCCTGTAGAAGGTATGCGGTTCGACCTCGGCCTTCCGGCTTGCTTGGGATTAATAGGGGATTTGACAACCATTAAACTAGGTGCTGTAGTTAAGTCCCATGTGGTTGGATGCGCAATTGGCATGATCATCGGCTCGTAAAGTTTGCGCAACGTTGTCGTCTTATAGTAATCGTGCACATATCTATATACCGATTCATTTGCCTTCCTAAAAATGGTACAAACATATAACATTTTATTATGAGGTACAATAAACAACAAAAGTCAAAAAATTAAAGCTTTTATTAAATAAAATAAAATAAAAATAATTACCCGATAGCCTTTATAGCATGTGCACAAGGCATTAAATCGACCTGGAAGAGAAAACAAGTGCAAGTCCGATCATCCGAATTGACGACAAAATTCTTGACCCCGTCTTTCACGTGGTAAACATGGTGATTGATACTTGAAGCTTCCATTTTGTCGGCTTCAATTTTATAATCCACCAAACGCTTAGATATTGATGGAGTAACTTCACAATCTGTGTTTTCTGCCTCGACGCGTCTTTTGTAGAACCACTTTTGCATGATGTTTCGAATCCATTCAAACAAAGAGCAAACCGGCAGTTTTCTTGCCCAACGAAGCCTATTGTTCAGAACCTCACAAGCATTCATGAAACTACATCGTCTCATAGGACATTGACTTCGTGCCCACCTAGCTGGATTGGCTCCAATCAATTCCTTCCATGGTTCCTGATGTTTTTCCGCAAGCTTAGCCATCGACTTTTGAAACACAATAGGGGAATAAGTATATGCAGCTTTCATATATAGACCAACTGCTTTAACACCGTGACTTCGAATATTCTGTCGTAGGTGGTACGAACATACGGCATGTACGGCATCAGGGTAAACAACTTCCATAGCCGACTTTATGCCCGTGTGTCGATCAGAAACAACCACCAAATTTTCCGGACATCCAAATGTGGAGCGAATTTTTGGAGAAACCACATCCAAGAACTATGACATTCTATATCGCCAATACCAAATGGCAACGGAAAAATTTGTTCATTTCCGTCCTTTGTCACTGCTACAAATAAGATGCCTTTATACTTACCCTTCAAATGAGTACCATCAATTACAATCACAGGCCGACAGTAATTGATGAAGCCTGCAGACGCATGAAAAGAAATGAATGAATACTGGAACACATCTTCATTATCGGTCTGAATATATGCCGATGTTCCAGGATTTTCCTTCAAAGACATGGAAATACGCCGGCATAAGTTCCCAGGATTTCTTGTGATCGCCGTAAATGTAGTCATAAGCGACATTTTGGGACTTCAGAGCTTTATCGTATTTCAACTTAATACCATGATCACGCTCCATGTCACCCATAATTTCGGCAGGCTTCAATAATCGGCCCTCTGTCAACAACTTCGGTGCAAGTAATGCTCCATTGATCTTAGAAGGCAATTGTCGTGGCGCTGAATGACTAAGGTTAACAGAACATGTATGTGGATGGTTGAATTTAGAAATTACCCAACTTCCTCCAGTTAATTGTTTGTTATGTTTTTATGCTTATTTTATTGTGTTTTATTTGCTTTAGTCGAGTCGTTTTTAGGTTCGTTTTAGTGTTAACCGGTCAATTTTTTCGTGTTTTATGTGTTTTCGTTTTTGTTACGTGTTTTTGTATTTTGCCATGTTTTTGCGTCTCTTTTGGTGTTTTGTTTAGGTCCGTATTTCAATTCTGGGAAGACTTATCGTTTGTGCCATTTCAAGTCATTTCCAAGCGTTCCGAGCCACCCGAACCGTTCCGAGCCAGCCCGATAGATTTTTGAGTTAAATTATGCTGCCAGGCCCAATTCGCGGCCTCAATGCATTTCCGCGGACTTGTGAAAAGCTCTCAGACCTCAATTCGCGGCCCCATTGTCATTTCGCGACGATGCGCGTGCTAACCTGCCAGCCCGATTGTCAATTCGCGGCCCCAACTCATTTTCGCAACGTCGCGCGTTCAGATTTTTAGTAAATATGTGAGTTTTTAGTGTGTGTTTGTGTTAGGGGTATAAATATGTGTTGTGTGTGTAATTTTAGGGAGATCCCC